CACCTCCTGGAAACTGGGTCCAGCGTCCCATGAACATCGTGAATAAAGCACCAACCGGGACCCCACACACACACTCTCTTCGAGTTGTGTATAGCCAACATGACAAAATATACATACAGCATAATCACTACCTTACCCTTCCCGAATCACATAAACAAAAGAACTATGTGCTGCGCACCCGTGACCTCACCGTAAGTCAATCGTTCTTTTCCGAAAGGCCTTCAGCCCTCGAGGTATCATCTTCGGATTGACTGGCTCCTCGGGCGCAGTCCCACCAGCAAAGAGGATTGGACTAAGCACCTGCAGAGATGCTGGAAAGCAGATTAATCACAACTATCTGCACCTCCGCCTAAAACCGATCCAGATTCAGGCGCTCAACCAAAACCCTCTTTGCTACCGTGGGACAGCACCCCTGGTAATTCAGAATGATTTTGTTTCACTCATCGAGTTCAACCCTTATTCGAACTATGGCCTGTATTTCAACAGTTCTTTGGTGTACCGACAACTGAGCTGGGCCGTTGGTATTTTCTTCCTTTTCCCCTTTTTGTCTATCTCTTTTTCTAATCCACAGCCTGGCGGCGTGGCCGCACGACATGTGGACATTCATCTTCGCCTCCCTCTTTCGTTTGAAAAAGGGCACTTCAAACAGAAAAGGCCTTTGCTCCTCCCTCCCCCCCTCCCTCCACCTTGCATTCTTTATTGGCCTACCGTTCTCCCCGATCGAACACAAGACACCTTCATCAAGACTGTATTTAGCCAGAAAGTCGATTGTATACATTCGTCATGAGGGTGGGTTATGTTCGGGGGAACACGGAATCTTGCTTCGCCCCGACCCTCTGCGCTGCTTCGCAAGTGTCCTACGTAGCGACACTTCTTTCCCTGCGACTGTTCGTTTATTCCCCCCCATCTGGATTTATATGCTGACGTGTCCCTCCCCACATGGCCATTAAGGATATTGTTCTTATCCACATCTCCATCCTGCTTTTTGGAATTTTAAGAATCTACACCATTTCTCGATCTATGCGCAGGGGCTCTGCTAATTGTCCTTCTCTGCATGTCCCGCCGGACCTCTCCATCCTTTTCGTGACTCAGAGGCTGTAGGACGCCTATCCCGCCACCATTGTCGTTCCGGGCTCTCCTCCCGCTCATCCTCTCTCTCTCTCTCTCTCTCTCTCTCTCTCTCTCTCTCTCTCTCTCTCTCTCTCTCTCTCTCTCTCTCTTTTCAATGTCATTCTGCTCCTCTTGTTAATCCCTTTCTTAGCAATGAAATACCGCCGGAATGAAATAGCGCCTTCCCCCGAATAGAACATACGGTCATTAGAAGAGCTGCATTCGGGGCAACTTTCAGTCTGATGACCGTACGTTCTATGAGGGGGAAGACGATAGCCATGTGAGTGCTGGCCGCCTCTTCTGCTTCCACCTGATAAAGCGTTTAGCTGGCCCGCGGCGCAAGAAGAAGAAGTGAGGGAGGGAGAAAAGGAAAAAGGAGTCTCGCGACGCAGTGTATTGTCCACCGAGAGACTGACTTGAGAAGAGAGAGACACAATCTCGCAGTAATTGGGCGTGGCGAGACGCAGTCACTGGCTTAAGTCAGTCTTGACCATAGATCAAGCAGGCAGATGGCCAGATATTATTAAGTAAGTATGTGTTTAAATCTCTGCTCTGAGGGAGGGCGAGTACCAGTCCTGGTAAAGGCTGCATGCATGGTGTGACCGTGCGTTCTATTGGGAGGAAGAAGGTGGGTGACCGAGAATGGGAGGAGGAGGGGGTGCTCTCTCCCTCGAAGAAATGCACAATATCCAGTTTGCCATCTCGACAGAGCAAGTGACCGGTTGGCAGTTCAAATCCGATCTCTGTGGCGCGCTCTATTCAGAGGAAGAAGGTAGGTGGCCAAGGATGGGAGGAGAAGGGGGCTCTCCCTCCCTGGAAGCTATGCATAATATGCAGTTTGCGATGTACAGAGCAAATGACAGGTTGGCAGTTCAATTCCGGTCTGTGCGATGTGCAGGCTGTCTTCACGAGGACGGAGGGACAACGACGTCCTCCGGCGGACATCGATGTAGTTAACTTCAAAGACATCACTCTGTCAGAGCAAGCAGGTCGGCAGTTCGATTCCCAGATGTACCATCGGATTCATGTTTACAGTCATCGATCGGACGGGCAGGATCAAGATCAGGATCCCGAGCAGCAGCATGAACTATCGGCAGGCGCGAACAGTAGACCTGGTGCAGAGCTTGGTTCAATGATCGCCATGCTTGGTCCATGGAGTGCAGGTGGAGGAGGTGCAATCCGGCTGATCGCTTTACCAGGTCCACTGATCGCCGCACCAGGTCCACTGATCGCTGTACCAGGTTCACTGAAAGCTGCGCCAAGTCCACTGATCGCTCTAGCCGCTGTACCAGGTCCACTGATCGCTGCACCAGGTGCAGTGATCGCTGTACCAGGTCCAGTGATCGCTGTACTTATTGCACCAGGTCCACTGCTCGCTGCACCAGGTCCGCTGCTCGCCGCACCAGGTGGCTCGACTGCAGGGGGAGTAGGAGGAATCCGACCCAGACCCTGTCGTCCCACGCCCAGGGGTGTTGCTCTGAGTGAGTCGAGTTGCAGCTCGCCGAGCTGTTTTTTCTGTTGTCGTCCCCAGAATCATAATGAGAGAGACCAGTCATCGAGGAACAAGAGCAAGTCCAGGATCAGGACCAGGGAGCAGGATCAGGATCGGGAGCAGAACCATAGTTCCAGTAGACGCGGTGAGAGACAAGGAGGAGGAGGAGGAGCGGTTGTTTCCTTCGCGAGCTTTGCCGCGATTAGACCAGTCCTCGAGAAACGGGATCAAGTCTAGGGTTAGGACCAGGTTCGTAAGCAGGTTCGGGAACAGGGTCGGGAGCAGAACCTCCGTTGTTGGGGCGTTGAGAGACAAGGAGACGTGGTTGTTGTTGCCTTGGCGAGCTTTGCGCCGGCTAGGCCTGTCATCGAGGAACACGATCACATCCAGGTCCAGGGTTAGGACGAGGCTGGGGAGCAGAACTCTCGGTGTAGAAGGTGTGGTGGGAGGCAAAGAGCGGCGGCGGTTGGTGGGTTGTCAAGCTTCACCCCGACTACCAATAGATCAGTCATCGAGGACCACGATCCGATGCAGGATTAGGCCCAGGCTGGGGACCAGGTCCGGGGGAAGGTCCGGTGGCAGCGTCCGGAGAAGGCTCGGAAGGAGGGTCGGGGGGCAGAACCATCGCGGCGTCGTCGCTGATTTTGATCGGGCATCATGCGGCTGAGGGTGACTGAAGCTCCGTCGGGTGTCCACACTCAGCTAGTGGCTGCAGTCGGATGGAATTCATCCAACGAGCTGTACTCCTGCAGTGATGATCGTACGGTACACAAGTGGAACATGAATGGTGAGGCCATGGGCAAGGCGTGCGAGATAGATAGCTACTACACGGACATGCACTGGTACCCCTCGGGTTCCAAACGTCAGCAAAGCGGACCAGGAACGGACGTATTTGTGGTGTCTTGTACGGACGGAAGCTTCAGGATCATCGCCAAGAATGGGAGGGAGGAGAAGAGGGTGGACGCGCACAAGGGTGCGGTGATAGCCCTACGATGGAACTACGAGGGGACGGCTCTGGCATCTGCAGGAGAGGATGGAATGGTCAAAGTGTGGTCCCGCAGTGGCATGCTGCGGTCCACTCTGGCCCAGACTGAGAACACAGTGTACTCTGTCGCTTGGAGCTCAGATTCGGACCAACTCCTGTTTTCCACGGGCAGAGATCTCGTGATCAAACCCCTACAACCCTCCAGCAAGCAGATGCAATGGAAGGCCCACGAAGGTCCCGTGCTGAAGGTAGACTGGAACCCTGTGAACCATCTGATAGTGTCTGGGGGTGAAGATTGCCTGTATAAGGTCTGGGACATCTACGGTCGTTTGCTGTACCAGAGTGCTCCGGCAGACTACGGGATCACTGCAGTCACCTGGTGTCCTAACGGCGAGCTCTTCGCCGTCGGATCCTTCAATGCCCTCATCCTGTGCGACAAGACCGGATGGACATACTCTAGGCACAAGCCCAACAGCGGCTCCTTGAGCAACATAGCATGGACTCTAGACGGAACCCAGCTGGCTGCTGCAGGAGGCAATGGGTCACTTGTGTTCGGGCAGCTGATTGGTCGGAAGATCGAGTGGAAACGAATCACAGCAACCATAGAAGATACGAATCGCATCCTCATACAGGACGTGTTGACCGAGACGGTGGAGGAGCTAGACTTCAGAGATCGCGTGATCAAGGCCTCCCTTGGCTGTGACCACTTGGTAGTGGCCACGGCCACTCAGTGCTGCATCTTCTCCACGAGCAACTGGAACACGCCGCACATTTTCGACATCAAAGACACGGTGTTGATGATCCTACAGAGCCAGAGGCACTTCCTCATGATAGATAGCTTCTCTGGACTGCAACTCTTTACCTATGAAGGGCGACAGGTGTGTAACCCGAGATTCCAAGGACTTAGGACCGAATTCCTTAACGAGCAGAGCGTCAGCCTAGCCAACGAGATCCTGGCTGTCATTGACACCAGCGACTACAAGTCCATCCGGCTCTTCGACACTTCAATGGGCAAGTTTCTGGGAGAACATCTCTCTCACTCCATGGAGATAGTCGAGATCGCGGTCAACCAGACCGGGTCGCTCGTTGACAAAAAGCTCGTCTTCATCGACCGGAATCGGGACCTGTACATCACCCCTGTCCTCAAGCCGGCACTGGTTAAGCTCACCACCATGGTAGATTCTGCAGCTTGGAACGACGGGACAGACATGTTGGCGGCCATGGCCGACCAGAAGATGGTCGTGTGGTACTATCCCAACGTAGTGTACGTAGATAACGACCTCCTCCCTCGGACAAAGTACACCAAGGATGGAAGCGAGCTCGGCAAATTGGCCCGCATTGTGAGCTTCTTTGGGTGCCGTTGTGTCATACGAAGGATCGACGGTGCGCTTGTGACCGTTAGCGTGTCCCCATACCCTCTCATCCTGTACGAGCAAGTGCATGCCAACAGATGGGAGCAGGCCACTCGGCTGTGCCGGTCCGTGAAGGACAACTCCCTCTGGGCATGCCTTGCTGCCATAGCCATCAACGCCAAGCAACTGGACGCCGCGGAAGCCGCCTTTGCCGCCATAGACGAGATAGACAGGCTACAGTTCGTCATTCACATCAAGGACATACCCTCGGAAGAAGGGCGAAACGCTGAGCTGGCGTTGTTCGCCAGACGACCTGAGGAAGCAGAGTCCATCCTCTTGCAAGCTGGCTTGACCTACAGAGCGATCCAAATGAACATACGCCTCTACAACTGGGACAGAGCATTGGAGCTAGCCGTTAACTACAAAACCCACATAGACACCGTCCTCCTCCGTCGTGCTCAGTACTTGAATCGGATTCAACGAGCGGAGTCCAACCCTCGTTTCCTGCAGTACATGCAGCACGTCACCGTGGACGAAGACAAGGTCAAGCTCAAGGTCGAGGCGGAGAAGGAGAAGGAGAGACGTCGATCTGCCGTTCTAGGTGGTCATCGAGCGGGTGGAGGGGGAGGTGCGGCGGGATATCCGCCCCCTTCCCCCGGTTGACTGCCAAGTCAACAAGGCAAGGTGTACAGCCATCGATGTTCGACAAACTTGGACGACAAAACATCACTGAATTTCATCTTTCCTTCTGTGACCGTGTACTCACACTCGGGACTTTTTCAACTGAATCCCGCCGTCAGGACCGGTCAGAGACATTACAGGGAAAGTCCCGGTGTGGTATGTGACTGTATGTCCTCAATCTCTGTCTTTCAGAGACAGGACTCTCTGGCAAAGGTCGGGTAGGCCGGTGGGTTCTGTGGTTTACCAGATTGCCTCCCCCCCTCGTCGTACTTCGCCAGGACGAGATCTCGACGCCCCCTTGCCAATCAGTAAGACAGTCTATTTGGCTACCCAGGTCAGTTCCAGCTCATCAGTCCGAGATTATCGGGTGCTCTCCCTCTCTACCCCTGCCCCCCCCCCTCCTCCCCCCCTGACCCTGACCGGCCTGACCCCACCATCACGTCATGGCCTGATGGCTCCATAGAGCTGCTCAGCGCCTCGCAACTCTAACGTTGCGATGATGGTAATCGGCAAAACAGGGAAACCAATCGATCACATCACATCACGACAATGACCAGGGGAGTCAGTCACAACCCCGTTAGAGTCAAGACGCCCCCTCGGACATTCAAGACCCCCCCACCCCCGGGAGGGCCAAGGTCCCCTCAGGGCACCCACCATAGACCCCCTCCGAACAGGCGAGACGCCCTCCGGACACTCCGCCTGGCAGTGGGAGCAGGGAAGATGATGTTGCGGTCATGAAGGTTTATCTTATCACATTTTTTTTGCGGGAAGGGTTTGATGATAATCGAGGGGTTCGACAATTATCGAGGGCTGTACTGTACATGACGATGACGACGACCACCACACAGAGGTCCCGGATGCTGAATTGCGTCCGGGGTCTCTGTGAAATCATGGACGGTCGCGTTGTGATGTGATCATGGCGGACACGAAAGTATCTGGTGGCAACGATGGCCGTGGGTTTCTTGTCAGTCACGGGTTCTCCTCCGCCTCTCATCTTACGTTACGTTACGTCACGTTACGTTACGTCACGTTACGTTACGTCACGTTACGTTACGTTACGCTGCTTGCAGTTTACTGCAGTTTAGTGAGAATGCTTGCTGACGCACGGGAGGAGGACACGGATAGACCATCGGGGAAGTCGACTGCGCACCACATGTCGTGCGTGCTTCTGCAGCAGACTTTGGCTCTTTGAAGGGGTTCAGAATCGTGTAGTCACGCTGAGAAGGGTGGTGCAGATCTGGCGGCGATTGCGTACAAGTTTAGAACCCCCGATGACGGAAGTTGAAGAGAAAGGTACACGACACGAGGAGCTTGGAAATAAGAGGAAAGACAAAATGCAGTACTGCAGCGTACGGAGTCGTCGTTTCATGCTCAGCCTGCTTGCAATGGAACGGTGGACAGGCCGCGAGTTCGATGCAATGCAGAACCAACCTAGCATTCATAAAACGCGAGCTAAACATAAAAGGGTCCTGCGTGCTTGACGAGTGGCAGAGGAGAGAGAGGGGAAAGAGAGAGAGAGAGAGGGCGGAGGCGCCGGGATTGGGAGCATGGGAGGGACGGGGTTTACATGTTTACCTCCTCCCCCCCTCCCCGTCTCCCTCCCAACTGTCGAGGAGAAGGATACCTGCTTCCACAACCTCCATCGCTTGTTACGAGTTGTCGCAGAGTTGTGATTAGTCAGCGACTTAGCGTTTAGAATGCGTACGTCAGGTGCATCAGCACCTCCAGGAGCGTATTGATCGGGGTCCAGGGGGTCTGCATCTGCTCAATGTGATCTTACAAGGGCCATTCAGGTCACATAGCCGAGATTGGAGCGGGAAGGAGTGAAGATGCCAATGTAGGGGAGAAAAAGGGGTGTGTTGTTGATGAGGGGTGCTGATAAGTATAGCACTATAGGAGGAGGAGCAGTCGTGGTGGTAGTGTGTGTGTCATCGTTAGAAGGGAGCGAGCGAATCCGTCATCGGAAGAGCATGCAGGTGCAGCAAGGATGGAAAAAGGAGGTGAGTCAGGTGACTGACGAGATGTGAAGAAAGAAGGCTCAAAAAAATAAGGGTAGTTGAAGGAGCAAAGGGGTCTTAGAAGGGGGGGGGAGCAGCAAGGGGGGATGTGAGTCGGAATTAACGAGGGGGAGCCTTTGGTTTCGGGTCCTCATCGGGGGTAAAGTTTAAGCAGCAAAGCGGGCCAAGGACGAGGAGAGAGGGGATGGGTCCGATGGGGTGGAGGAAGGAAGGAAGGAGGTGGATATCTTCGAGGGTAGTACACTTACAATGTGCGTGTTTTGCACAGAATGTGCCCGCAATTGCAGTCAGATGCATGGTAGAACGTTGCAGTGTGAATATGACCTCAGTGGGTGCGTTCTGGGTACAGACTTAGCAGCTACACAGAAGTGGGGCTCGTGCGGTTGCGTGGTAAGCGGGCGGGCGGGCGGGCGGACGGGTTGGAGGCAGGGAGAAGACGATGATGGTTTGGACTCTGGAGGTATGACGCCGCCCAGAAATAGGCTAATAAGACGAGGATGCAGGAGGAGAGTAGAGTGGCTTGCGCTACCTACCTTACGTGCTTGCTAAGAGAAAGCTGCAGGCAGGAGAGCTCATCTCCTAGGTAGTTGTACGGTTGCGAGGGGTGAGTTCCGGACACCAGAGGTAGGTGTGAGGGAATGGCAATGGAGCAGGAGTATGGGGAGGGAGGAGATGACGATGATGAGGGATTGCTGGGGCTAAGCGCCCACAAGCGATGGGGGAGGACGGATGTGGAGGAGAGGGAGGACGGTGATGGTGGAGGGACTCCGATCATGTGAGTGGGACAAAGAGATAGGTCCAGCCAAGTGCTGGTCGTCCGGCTGGGTGGTGGCGAGGTAGGCCTGAGGAGGCACAGAAATGGAGGTGCCGGACATGGAGTGACGGGGTTCAGAACCTCCAGTCAAGCGGCATGATGATTGCGGCGCAGCAGACGCCCAATGACGATTGCAGGGACGAGGGCCTCAGTTTCAGCAAGTTGTTGTTGTGGTGCAGTATCGCCAGAGCGATGCATGATTGCTGCTGTGGGTTGTGTGCGTTGTCCACCTGCCGGTAGCCTATGCCTTCGACGAGAGCTCCGTCTGGGTCTATCTACCTACCCTCTTCCCCCGAATCCACAACGCATCCTCATCATGAATGTAATGAATGTATATGTATAAAGCTATATTGCCGCTGCAAATACCGTCGTCATGGGGGTGCGCTGTGCTCGAGGGAAAACGTAGCACTAAGGCCATACTACGTACACCACATGGTCTCACAAACCCTGTAGTAAGGTCATCCTCATCGTGACTGCACGGAATCGGAAAAAGATCATACCATTATGGAAACATGAACGATCAGGATGCGTGACGGTAGTATATTGCTGGTTTGTACCTTCGTTGATCGATCGGTAGTACGGTTTGCAACAGTAATCATGGTTTGTACCGTCGTCGATCGATCGGATCACAATCATCAACGAATCACAGTCGTGAAGCCAGATGATTGACGATTGTCATCAGATCTGATGCGATCCGATCCGATCCGATCGGCTCACGATTGCGATGATCACGTCCGATCTCCATTCACGATTGTAATGGGATCGATTTACGACCCTGATTCGCTCGTGATCCAGTCGATTCATGCATACTTGTGATCTGATTCTGGGTGCATCCTCATTCGAACTCAGGTCTGTATTTCACCAGGTCATGGGTTTACCAACTGAGCGAGCTACGTAGGCCAGTCAGTCGCTGTTGTGATCCGGTTTTCATGACTGTGCTCCGGCTTTCATGACTGTGCTCCGGTTCGGATTCATCGTTGGGATCCCTACGGATTAGTACGGGTAAGGTCTCGAGGAACCGTCCTTTTTTCTTTCCTTCTTTTTTTTTTTAATTGGGAAAATTTGGACCATTTCTCGATTTATGCGTGTCATCCTTCGCACAGGGGCCATGCTAATCTTCTTTGTCTGTATCGTTCCAATTTTATAACCGATGTCCTGCTTGGAATGTGCAGTGAGATTCTCTATCGGATGACGGGCCTCGGGATAAGTGTGGCCAAGTTTATAGATGGTTTTTTTTTTTTTTTTTTTTTTTTTTT